AAGAAATATCTGCCAGGTACATTTCAGCTGTGCAGTTTCAGAAGCAGAAATGCATATTTCCAGTACAGCGTGCATGAAACCACACCTTTGATTTAGTACAAAATTGCAAATACTGACAATTCTCTTTTCCACAAATGGCATCTTGGGTATATATTTAGAGTATTAATCATATGTGATAAGAACAATTTGACAATGAAATTAAGTTCCTTACCTGTTTTTGTTTATTCAAGAAAATGCATACCTTTCATTGTCAGCTTTACCTGTCATTAACCTTTTATACAGTAAATTAATTAATCATGCTGGAGTTGCCATCTCTTTCAAGTACAGATATTATTTCTTGATGCTTTTGAGAAAAATCATCCTTGATTTTGCTGGAAACTATTTCATCATTACATTTTCTTTCCATGACATTTAGCTTATGGTCTTACCTGATGACCTGGCTAATAATCAGAATCAGTAAAGCATTTGTCAGCAAATGAAATTATCAGTGTTTTTTGGAGAGAAATGCACTTTTCATTTATCACTCATGATGCTGCGGCCAAAAATGAAGGCTAGTTTATTTATAAAATTACATTTAGTCTGAGTTGGATTATGATAAATATATTAAATTAATGCCATCTTTACCATTGGGTAATGCATACCTAACTGTGAACATCATTGATCTAGATTTGTTATTGCATAATTTACTGGTAGATAGATTCTACGCTGGTTTTGTGAGAAGAGTTTGGACCCTTATGTCTTGACACTTTATATTTCATAAACTTTTCTATGCATTGCATTTGGACACATAAGTAGTAGACTATATCATACATGCCATCCATTACACTTTTGGCATAATCATTACCCTTTTTTACACTAAATCACGCCTTGCGCGTAAATGTATTTGGATTATGCTTTTTTCGGTATATACTCTCCAAACAAATGTTTTCTCATTTTTATTAACATCCTACTAATCGCACAGAGCATATTCTAGAAAAGATGGCTTCTGTGTAACTATGACATAAAAGTACACTTGTCCGTAGACTAACTGTGAATTTCATAATAGTGTTCTATTTATAGCACCTGCCCTACTTCTAAGAAACATGCTGGTTTGTACTTTTGACCTTGGTTTCTATTTATAGCTGCTGTCTGGCTAAAGAGGGAACAGACTGGTTTTCCAATTTGTTATCTTTGCTCACATATTCTTTGTTATAAATCATGAGGTACAGAACCATTTACCATTGGCAGTAAAAGTCATCTGATTTATTCTAGTCGATGCATGTGTTGAATGATTTCACAGTTGGATTATAAAAGAAACCTAAAACAGAACCAAAAAATGCATGAATTACACAATACAGTATTCCATTCCGGGTAGTTTCACGCCCATTGCACACTGTGGAAAGGATTTTAATAATGGTCATAGTGTAACACAAATATCCATGAATTAGCTCATTTTGCTAACTCCAATACTAAGGTAAATTCTATTTTACAGCAGAACTAAATTGTGGAAACGAATTTTATAAATGCAGGGGCATTATTTACAGAGTTTTTCATAGAACTCTGACTACTCTTAGTGGTAGAATACAACTTTAGTCCTTTGTTCAAATGAATGCTTCCCGACGCCAAAATTGCAGAAAACATGTATGTGCAAGAACAAAATCATGTAATATTGTTAAATGTTGAGCAGAAGGTACAGCAGTTAAAATTGCAAAAGCCATGAAAATTGGGCCCTTCATTATTGCGACAGACAAAAGCATTGATTATGATAACAAAAAGTTGTATGTTGTACCCAGTTGGTGTAAGAGACTGACAACAAAAATGGGCAAGGTCGGATTGCTCTTTTTTTATAACCAGAATTAACAGCAGATTCCACTGGATGAAACATTTTCTACTTGTTTTATAATGTTTTGAATAAACATAAGCTGGCAGAACTGTCTGGAGGTTTTCAATTGCATTCTGTATTTTGAAAAATGCTTCCATTGTTGTACATATCAGGTTGTTTGCTGCTTTTTAAATCTCAAAATATGAAAACTTTAAGCAGTAATTGATCTTAACCATAGGAGTAAATAAATCATCTTATACATATGCACATTGAATTTTATTGTTATATGTGGATTACTCGTTTTCTGCTCAGATTACTTTTTTTGTCCATTTGGATTACACTTTTTCTTTGCCAGGGTTTTGCATGTATGCTTAATGAACACTTCCCATAAGGATTGTTCTTTGAGTAGTCCTGTGAGACATGTGCATCAGACCAATTGTACTGAATGGTTCATGTAGCCAACCTCCTGAGTGGAACATGTTTAATCTGCACTGAAGTTCTTTACTCTTTATCCCACCACAGGATCAGTCTGGTTTGGTTGTAGAGTTGTGCAAGGTGCTCGATTCCAATTGTCTCAGCATTAAATAACCTACTTGTGTTGCTGTGCTATTTTTAAAAAAATGAACCAGTTTACTTTATTCTGCTGTTTTGTAAGGTTTTGTACCAAGTAATTGAAATAGCTACTTAAATTGTGTTCACCATGCAAAATATTGTCATACTATTCTAGAAGTAGTCATTTTGCAGATTTATTGAAATTGCTTGGATTTCATTTGATAAATATTACCTGGGGATGAAAATTGTGCAAAATTGTATTTAAAACAATTTGATAATTGATAAATCATTGATGTGTGAAAATTTCTGCTTATAATTTGAAGTCACTGAAAGAAGATCCCTATTGCCCAAACACTACTCTGAATTTATTTGAAATTTTCAGATGGAAGGAGAATGAACATGAATTCAACTTGAGAATCTAACCTTTTGATCCATTTTTATGTATCCAGATTTACAAGTTGAAAATTTTTTTTATTTTTTTTTTGGATATCCATGAACCATTGATAGTGGTAGTACTTTTCTTTTAGGGGTAATGCACTAAAATCCATTTCTTCGAACTGAACAACCATGTTGAGCATTGGCTTGTGATACTCTGATGTAAAGTTACTGTGTTCTTCCAAGTTGACTTAATGTTAGAAAAGATGCAATTTCATCTGAAAAATGAGAACAAGTTCTAGCTTAGAATTTGGGGAAAAGATGAACCATTGATAACAAAAAAATCATTTTTCTCCACCACTTTTCTACCCATCTCTCCACTCCATCCCAGCGCTGTAAAATGTCCTTTTATATGACCAGGTGAAGAAAAGTCCCTTTTTAAATTACTATATATATATATATATATATAAACTTTTACTGAAAAATTCAGTAATACCGGTAGATGATTTTACTGGATGATTTTACGCATAACAGTAGGGGTTTGCTGTTAATTTGGTCAGTGGGGGGTAGGTTGATTTAAATCTTTGACATTTATCACTTTTTAGATAAAAGGCCTTTTGCAATCATGTGTCAATAAAAGTGCTCTTCCTTTCTTTCTCCTGAGGTTGAGATGTCATTCAAAGATAAACTAGAATCTTGAATATGAAGGAAGCTTAATCATTCTGTTTCATACAAAATAGTGGAGCAGTGCTCAGATAATGTGAAAGTAGGAGGAATACCTATAATCTAAAATGATGAAGAAATTTTATTGATAATTGTTGATAGTAATCTTGTAGGAAAAGTGTGTAATGTCTTTGGAAACTAGACAGATAGATATAGATTTTTGCCGCAGTCCAGTTGATCTTTGAAAGGAGATTCTGCATTTCAAGTGTTGATAATTGCAGTTATCCTTCTGCTATACTGCAATGCTAGTTTTAGAATTATGTATTGTGGCATTGTGTTTTTGCTATTCATAATATTTATCAATATTTGCCACTGATCTCGTGGGTTTTTTTGGCATCCCCTAGTGGGAAACAAAGTTCAGTACCCTGCCAACTCCTATGCAAATAAAAAAAAATTGGAAAATCTCAGTATCCCAAAACTTACTCTACTACTGAAAACACTTTTGTCGTTATTGACAACGAATCCATTCTATACAATCTCTCACTTGATGAAGCTGCTACCTGTGTATACTAAAGAAAAAACTGGAATTGTCATCCAGGCAAGTCCTTGTGAGTTTTTGGTTTGTTTTCCCTGTGCAGACTTAACTTGCTTTCACTATACCGGTAAGGGTTTATCAGATGCCTCTAATACAGTGATTGAAAAAACAAACTAGAAGTAGAAGAAAGCAGCAATGTTTTTTGGTTACCATTAAAAGCCTTTGAAGGATAGTGCCAGAAAAAGTGGATAAATGTGATAATAATTTTCAAGTATTTTAAAAAAAAAATTCTAAAATGTTGATGGTAACTGCTTTTGTGACTTTTTTTCAATATGTGCTGTGTGATTCTCAAGTATATGAACTTGTGACAAAATGTTTAAGATCCAGTATGCCTGGCAAAAACTGATGACAAATTTCACATGAAACCATATGTGAGTGCCCTGTGATCTCCATTTTTTTTCACTTGTATTACATAGTATACAATTTTCATTCTTAAGCCACGTGTAGCATGCACACTGGTGACCATTGATTGGGAGCCCCCAAGTGGTCTAAATCGCTGTCCGTTGCGGATCACTGCCATCTCACCTCTGTCTGCGTGTGTTCGAGTCTAGGATTCGGCTAATTAGATATGTGAGAAAGCTTGCCAGTAGCTTCTCGTGGGTCGGTGGTTCTTTCCGGTGATTTCCCGGTTTCTTCCTCCACCATTAATACTGGCCGCCATGAATAGCTTATCGTGTGCAGAAAAATGGCGTTACGCCCAACAACAACGACCATTGATTGAATATGAAATTAAGGGGGCCCATGTAGTGAAATATTTCTACAGCAATTCTGACATCATTTAAAATGTTTGATGCAAGGATATAAAAAAATATTTACATGCAGTACTTGTATATCGTGATGTGATTATGATTTTTAAAGTAGCTTTAACAATTTTTTAGTCATATCGCTACGATGTCTGCATTGTGGCAGTTGATAGTGATGTCTAGCACTGGGGCATCATGCCGCAGACATTTAGCATGATGTCCCACCCAGTCACATTATCCTGACACCAGACCATTTTTTTTAAGTCTGGTATGACTCTACTGGGGATCGAACCCACAACCTCCCGTATCCGAGGCGGCCGCTTTAACCACTAGGCCACCAGAGCGGTCTGTATATCGTGTCCAATCACGTCACATCCAACAGGAATTTCATTTTTGCGTAATAATGTTTGAAGGACTTTGTTATTGGTATTAGGCTTTATATTAAAAAGACTTGGGTCAGGTTTAGTTTTCAGGTTTTTTATTTTAAAAAAATATTGAGTTGAAGCTTCTAACAAATTTGTTAGATCCCCGACAGAAGCCAGGGATATAAAGAAAAAAAAAAATCACTTGACTGACTCAAATTCCACTTGCCACAAAGGGCTATAATTATTTTGAGTGTTTTAACCATATACTTTTTATAAAGAAATACTTATTAAAAGATAATATAATTTAAGAAAGAAATATTTAGTAGTGAACCATATTTGTCTTTATCAATTGTACCATGTTTTTGTCAATTAGTTTATAGATGACGGTGAACATCGAAAAAAAAGGCTTTTGTTTTACTAAAAGTCGGACACCATTTAATTTACAGCAGTGTTTTCCGAAGGTCATAATGTCAACCAGTGCTCAGTAACCAAATAATTTATGCTTTACTGTTGTGTATAACTTTGCACTCCTGTCCACCTTGGATGAAGCTTGAATGACACTTTTGGTGTGTGTGTGTGCATGTCATTCATCCATCACATCCTAGGTCAAAGTCAAAGTGAACTTGTGGCATTGCTCATTTCCTGACCAGATTTGCTCCCTTTTTTTAATTCTCAAAAACTACTAGGTCAGTTGCGTATAAATTTAGTAGGAGTGTTTCTCTAGACATGGTCTACTAAAAATTGTTTTGGATGGCTCCACTAGAAATGGTGTGGCTTCCATAGCAACCATGTGTAAAACCTATTTTTCATCTTTTTATTTTTAAATCAACATTGATACAAATGTTTCTTATGATATGCCACATCAAAATTGTGGTCAGAATGGCTCCAATAGCAATGAAGTAAATACCTTAGCAACCATAGGGAAAACTTGTTTTTGAATTCTCTTGATCTTTTGGGTTAATTTCTATCAGACTTGGTTTTACTGTTTGAGAGAACATAAACATCATTTGCATTTATATAAAACCTGTTTGTCCAGCAGAAGTTACTTAGAGGAGAAACACTGTTAAATAGCATTTCATGTCATTGAAAGTTATGTTGACACAGATGTCTTTCAACTGAAGTCACCAACCTTAATATTACATATGGCTTTTTGACCAATGTATGTCAGGTGTGTGTTGTTAAATCCACATGAGCCTACTGTTTAGATTAAGAACTTGAATTGGAACTTCTGCCTGTGTGCAGAAGGATTTTTTGATGTCAACATTTAGTTGATCATTTGACTGTTCCAAAAATCATTCCTCTGATGAACAAACACCTTGTGAAAAAGTCAAAAGCTTGTTTTGCTACAGAAAGGTGCCAGTATTTAGTCTGATTAATTGCAAGTGGCTGTAGCAGGTAACAATATTCATTATAGAATATGTTTAACTACTGACATATTACACTGAAGTTTTCAGCGATGGACATAAAAAAGACTTGCAGTTTATTGGTACTTCCCGATGGACAAGTGAGCACTGTTATAGGTAATCAGTGAAATACAAAGAGAAATACTTTAAGCTTTGTTCCAGATATGGTTCAAATGAAAAGTTTCCTTTTTTACAGCCTTTATCGAATTTTACTTTCTGTGCTAGTTTATTTTCAGGTACAGCCAGAAGGTTGCATCATGCCATCATGGAGCATGTTTCTTTAGAGAGGGGGTTGGGATGGCATTAGAATGTCATTATTACATGGAATATTGACACAAAGTGTATTCCTAAATGTTATTGGAAGCATGCAATATGGCTAAATGTATTGATCTGCTTTCAAGTAAAAGTTAATGGATTAAACAAAATTTAATTTTATTTGTATATCTTTTAAACTTCACATCGAGTTGTTCGAATGTGCAATAGAATCTTTAAATGCACTTGACATTTTTAAAAAGTGCACTTTCTCAACCAAACTTAATTAGCTACTAAGACAACTTTATATTTTTACATAAATGTGTTGCTTTATCTGCTTCATTTGCTGAAAATGTACTTTTCCGTTTTTTTTTTATATGGTTGTATTTTTTCCAATTTTTTTAAAGTTGATTGTTGGTTATGTTGTAATAATAAACATTGATTAAATAATCATTCGTATTTTGATGCATCTCAAGTTTTTTAATTCATAATGTTGCATTTTCAATTGCACTGATATAAAGATGCAGGTTTGCTTTGTATATTAGTGTCTGCCATTACTTCATTTAGGTATTAATTAATTTTGTATGTTTATATTTTTGCAAAAGGCTGACAGGCTAATATGCAATATATATTCTGCTGTTATATAAGTATGGAGACAATCTTTTCAGGGCTGATGGATCTATGAATGGAGCCCCAGCAGGGAAGTTATTATTAGTAATTTATGTCTTTAATGAAGTTCATAAAAAAAAAGCCACATAATTGTTGCCCATGATTTTGACAGGCAAATTACAATATCTAGCAGGTTTTGGAGTGTATTTTAAAATAAAGAATTTTTTAATTTTGTTAAAATTAAATGGACAGCTGTTAGAATACATAATAAACCCCAAGTTAGAGTTGGATCAGCCCTGGGCTATGGCATTATTTTAGCACTGAGTTATAGTTCTTGTTTAATATGGAACTTTTCTTTGTAATTTCAACTTAACTTTATTCAGTTCCACCACATGGGCATGGGGCTAATTGTTTGTCTGGACACATTCCTAGATCCCCACGGCATCTTAACACTTAAGTTTATTACAGAAATTGTGGGGGTGCACTTAATATAGTTTTACAGATATATAAATTGTGGCACATTAAAAAGAAAGGCAGATTACTTTAACCCAAATTATTAATATTGGTATTACATACAACATTATCATATGGCTGCAAACATTTCCTGATATCTAATATCTGCTGCAGTAGGGTAGTCACTTGTTAATTTATGCAACACTACAAGGTCAAAGTTTGTTTTGTTTTTATTGTACATGTACAGCATTGTAATGCATATTCCCACTTGAAATTTATTGATGAATTACTGTCAAAGTATTTGTTGAAATATTAGCTGCATGTACCATAAAAGGCTGGTTTAGTATTGTCACTACCTGAGGTTGCACACATCTACACCCATTGCTGGGATAGCTGCATGGTCACTCAAAATGCCTGTTTAGAAGTTACATTGATTTAGAAGAAACTGCCTCTGAAAGGAAAATTTAGTTAAGTTCATGTATTTCTTAGACAGTATGGCACCAGCAAGTGTGACACTTCAGTACTCCAAAATCAATGACTACATGCAGACTGGTTATTTTTTTTAGAACAGTTGCTGTCATGTTTCATTTTTCTACCAAAGGAACTACAGTAGCTCTGTTGGTAGAGCATTTGATTCATAATCCAAATTGTGCCGGTTCAGTACATGTCCTAGCCAGCAGTTAGCTGCCTCAGTGTGTTGGGGGCGGGGGGCTTGCTCTCGTTTCCTCAGCCTCATGTAGCCAGCAATGTATTAAAACCAACAAAATCAAGCTTCACACATGAATTGAGGGTGGTGTGTAAGCAAAGTAGTTACAATGTTTATTTCAGAAGGAGCATTCTTCTGTAATTAATGTAACTATGTGTGACCAGTCAGCTTACCTGACAATAGAAAACTAGCAAAACCAAGTATTTATTTTGTAAGAATGATAGATGTATGTACATTGTAAATAGACATGAAGAGTATTATCAGAATTGGTGCATTAATGATTTCATACTTCTTTTAATTATTGTGTATATCTATTTGAGAGTGTTTGGAGGAAGTGTGAACAAGATTTTACATCAAAATAAAGCAAAGTAAATTAGACTAAAAAATATATAGATGGTGTTGTTAGAAATGTAAATGGTACAAGAGAATTGTTTGTACTCGCAGAGTTGTGTTGTATATATTGAACATGAAAATGTATAGATACTGTTTACATGTAAGTCATTTTCTTGTGTTTGTTCATAAAGATCATCAAACAGAAGGACATTTTATTTATTTTTGTAAATAACTAAATAACTTATCTGAAGTGTCTTAAGTCAGATGTCACATGCAAGCTTTAAACTTTGAATAAGTAAAAATGTACATGGTTCAGACGCTTCCTACATTTGATATTGTAACAATAACGTTATTGAATACACTGGAGAAGAAGTTGGCAATAAAACGTGAACAAGGTTGGCTTCATCTGCTTTTTTCTTTTGGTAAAGTCCATTTTTAAGCAGATCCAGATTTGAATTATCACTACATAACATTAATGTTTGGGGGTGGTTGTAAACCATAAGAAGACATCTGACATGACTCTTAGGACATCTTTTTCTGTTCTTAAACATGAAAAAAAAAAAAAATGTTTAAATTTTAGATGTGTCCATGGATGCTGATTTTCCCACCAGCCTAAATGATTAAAAGAAGAAAATTCTGGTAGAATGAATGTGTGTGCATGTATGCATGAAAAAGGTTTTTTAAAATATTTTTTAAAAAAAATGTATATAAAATCATAACATGTACAAGAAATAAGAAGCTATTTTTATTTAAAGTTGATTATTCCATATTGCAACAACAATAAACATTAACTTGTTGAAGAGATTCTCTGACTAGAGTAACAGTTTATGTTATAAACTTTCTATTTTAATTCCAAAACTAGATTTACCACCATAAAGAAAAACAAATGAAATGTACCAGTAGAAATTGATACAAATTACATGCAGAAATTTAACTATGCAAGGTCAAGACTTGTACATATAAAATTTTCAGAATTGTGAAACCATACTACCAGAAGAAAAAAAACTCGTGACAACATTTATTTGTTAAGAAACTGGACTAAACAGTACATATTGAAAATGTGCATAGAGAATAAGATGTGGAATCTATAGCAATTCAAAAGAATCAAACCTACAAGTAACTAAAACACTAAAATTTGCAAGCTGAAAATGAGTTCCGCAAAGGGACAGACACTCTACTTTCCATGAATTAGAGAGTATGTGATTTGGATTTTTTAATGTAGC